GTGTAGGGTGGCATGGCCATGTCAATAGCAAGCCAGAAGATCTTTGTGGCAAGGTTAGGAACATTCATGTTCCTTTGTGCTTCCAGAGTATCCTGCAGTTGTCTCTTTAAGGGACGATAGTTGGTCTCTCAATGCATAGCATTAAAGCGTAGAGTGTTTACAGTGCACACTGTCCACTGATTAAAATTGTAGTAGGATTTTTTAAATGATCATTGTACCCTAATGTGCATATTAAATACAGGATTCCACCCTAAAAATGGCAAACTTTCTGGCAAATGATTTCCATCATGGGTCTTAAGCATACAATATAAGAATCCTATGAAATGATTTGCACATTAAGGGTGCAATATAAATAAAGTTTTCTATTTCCAAATTCACAGCATCCAATGTTAAAATTTAACTACTACTAAAAATACTGTTCTACAGTATTTCATAACTATATTGCAATAACCCCAGACATTAATCCAATCAGACAATCTAACAGTAATAAAATTATTCCTTGAAAACAGTATTTGACAAATTGTCTCTTGTTAGCTCAATTTCCTTGCCATTGACCGTGCAAATATCAAAATCCCACATCAATTAACATTTATAATGTTGCAGTGAACAGTCTTATCAGTTTATACAGCAGCAAACGTTCAAAGGAAAGGTGATATACAAGAAATTATACAGCTAAATATTACAAAATTACAAACTGACATACTTTACAAATTATCCATGAAAGTCATTTATTATTGAGAAAATAATTCTGTAACTTGCAGACAGGCTTCAAACACCATCTTCTGCCATTACAATGTTACTCATGTTTTGGGAGACATCCTTAATTGTTCTTGAGAAGGTGATGTTGAGACTTCTCCTTAAGCTACTGCAGTCCATGTGGTGAAAAGTACACCCCCAGTGCTGTTTACATCGGTAGTTCCAATACTTCAATTCATTGAAGAAGCCTTGACAAATTGAGAACATCACGTGGAATGTACATACTGTGGCTGCACTATATTAGTGATGGAGGGAGTGAATTTTTAGGTTAATGAATAGATTCGTGCTTCACTGTGTTTGCAGTGTCCAAGGTATTTGTCTTTGTGGGTCCCATTACATGATGCTCTCTACAATTATGGTAAAATTTTAATTTTGCTCCACTGGGGAGCCTTACCCATCAAAAATGTGGACTAGAAATTTAGGTGCAATTTCCCAATCATTTAAATTAATGGTCACAAAACAGTACACAACACATGCCTAGATTTCTGATATGCACTTCCAATAGCCAGAAGCCAATTGGTAAGTTGTTATTTCTGAAATAACTAATTACTTTTGTGGATGAGGCTGACCCTGGAGACCCAAGTCTGAAAATTACTTCTGTAAATTTTAAATGCATTTTCCCATTAATTTGCATACATTTCAGCTGCTGATATGAGCAGATTTCAATGACTTGCTTTCGGATTCATCACTGACAATAGAATTACACTAAACACAACCTTTTCTAAATGTTCAGGCTCATTAAGTCTTAAACTGGGCAATCAGCAAAGAAGAAAGAAAGGAGACATTTGAATGTTGTTGTTTGAGTTTTGAGGACTAGTTTATCAGAGTTTGAGGGAGGCAAATGAGTTTGACCATTCCTGCACTGTACTATTCCCTGTTGTTCCTAACAAATTTTTCAGTTTGCTGGACACAATGTAAATCATCTAGGAATGTGAACATTAATTTTGAGTTATACAGAATGCTAATAGTTTCTAAGATGCTTAGTCAGAGAAAATTTTATTTGGGGAAGCACTTATAACATATATAATCTGTGTTTTCAAAAGAGAAACTGAATTTCATTTGCCACAGGGTAAGGGTTAGCCTTTTGTTGTAGAAATTAGAATAGAGCTGCCCCACTGAAATACTTTTGGCTGGTAGGGATTGACTACTGGTATCATGTAATGTTTCCACTTGTGGACACAACTTCCTTTCCTTCTTTAATCTATGCCATGTACTGGTGGTTTCACAAGATATGGTCTGAACTAAAAATGAAGCACTTTCTACTTCTAAACAAAAGGATCCAATAGATATGTCAGTTAGTGGAATAGCAAACTTAAATATTAAGAAAAAAGGCAAAAGCTTTAATAAGGCCTGACCTTCCACTTCCTCCTAATAAAACTGAACATTCTGGAATCTTCTCCTTTTGGCCAATCTACGAAACTTTATTGGAAGGGAAACTGAAATGTTGCATATCCACTGATGGACTATGGTTATCTTAACTGACAAGAAATCAGACTTATTCAAGGATGATTTCACACCCTTGCTTCACCTTGCAGAGTTACCATCTATCACATGACATGCCAGTATTTTTGTTTGAAGAATACATAATTAGTCAGTTATTTCGATAGTATATACATGTTAATCTTGTATCTGAACAATAACTTCCAGCATGGATGGATATTAAAAGGGTTGGTGGTGTGTTGATATCATGTATTCTTATCACTTTTGCTTAACTGTGCCATGGGTCAATTTTTAATTTTTAAGTTTTTGCAGTTCATTTTGAGAGGGAGGCAAAACTTTTGATATTAAAATGAAAGCTAACTTACTGAAAACATTGCCTGAACACTCACTGAAAGTGACAGTCTTTTAATGTGCATGTGTGTTGCAAGCTGAGGTGTCTAGAATTGATGCTCCTTCTTTTTTGTATATTAAACTACTTAGAGCCTGGGATAAAACTCTTAGATGCATCACATTCTCAATTTCATGTTGGCAGACGGTCAAAACTCACTCCTTTTCTTTAATGATGCATTTCTTTGTGTTGTACCACAGCTTGCGAGTAAAAAATGTGTGTGAATGCAAGATAGTAGTGGCCATTTAATTTTAATGCCCTTGAGGTGTGAGAAGTCATTTTGATGCAATTGCACTGTTGTAATTGAATATGGCTATACCTCCTCCTTCAAGGACATCCCCTGCAGTGATATGAAGGAATCTTGTATGAAAGTAATACTCTTCATATTCTTCAGAATGGCTAGAGTACTTACATACAATGACTGCAGAAATTCAGGCATTTTGTTGTTTTTATGCTTAAAGAAATATGGAAATGTGTTTATAACACAGCATCACTCCTTCTTTGGCTAAATATCAACTTGCCTATGGAAGCTGCAGAAGGAGTAATTGTTTTTAAGATTTCTGTTCCATCTCTGACCAAGAATGCTAGTCAGCAATTTTTCTATGGAGTACACAAGTATATTTCCAGTCTGTCACTGGAGAGATGAATAGTAAACAGATCATTGTAGGTCACTGCTGCAGCTTTGTACTTGCCAATATTAATTGCAGTTACCCATTCACAGAATGGAATATGCGCAACAGGTTTCAAATTTTCAAATAGGCTTATTTGGCATCCATTCAGGGCACCTGATTATCAGTCTGCTGCTCCTGTATATTCACAGCAGCATCATTTTTTATTATAAAATATAATGATGAAATAAATACAATCAATAGAAACAATTGGAAGGTTTGAGCTAAAGGTTTAGGAGTCTGTGTGATCTTCTAAACAATATGAGAGAGAATACTACCTCATTATGCCAGTGACGTTGGGTTGTTCCACATTTGAGAATTTGAGAAGTTGGTTTTGCAATACTCCTTTGGGTTGTCAGGCTGATATGTATAAGTCTTAAATCAATGTACCACATTCTGCAAAGTTCTTACTTTTCTACAACAGTTTATTATAAAATATAATTCCTATAGATCTACTCAAAGCATAAATTTGACAATTTTAAAAGAACATGTATAAATGCCACAAATTCAGTTGTTCAAATGGATGGATGATTCATAATTTATAATGTTAAACTAAATAATTTCAAAATTTGGATTAAGTTCAGTGCAAGATGGTAGCTCTTCCATGACAGTATTTCAACAAAATATTAAATTGCTTGTAAGAAATTTCTTTGATGCATCAAATTCTGCTAGTTATCTCTATTAATCTCTTTTTCTCTTTATACTTTGGCCGAATATAAACTTGTCTATGGAAGCTGCAGAAGTAGCTTTTGGTTTTAAGGTTTATTTCTTTAAACTTTTGTTTTCATAAATATTGTATTCACCCTCCCCTGCAGCATTCATTGTCCACCAAAACCTTTGTCACATTTGAGCCAGTGTCAAATGTTTTAGTTAAAAACCTCTGGTACTGAATGAAATGGGTCAAAGTCCCACACCTGAGTACTATCATAAGCTGACATTTTAAGTCTGTATAGATTTTCAGAATGCGTAATTAAGATCGCTTCTGCTTGTTCAAAGAGATATAAAAGATCCAGAATACAATGGGAAGACTAACAGGAAATTTCGCTGATGTTTTGACCAAAATTTCTTCATCAACCAGCATTGCAAATAATAACAGGCTGCTGGTCTTAGTTGCAGTTTGCAAACCTGCCAGCTCATTTTCCTACATATCGTGACCCCTCTTCAGAAGTAATTGTTTAGATGCCAGGCTCTTGCTATGTTGTGGTATAAATGCATTCCTTTCTTATTTGTTAAGTGAAATTCAAAACAACATTTAAATTCTTCCACTAATCTTGCTGAACACTTTGTTAGGAAGTGCCCTAACCCTAACCCTATCTCAATGCGGGAAGCTAAGGAAAAGGGTTATAGAATTCCACAGAATCTGTGGCATAGATACAGGACAATATTGAAAGATCAATGGGCAGAATCTCCAGCTATCAGAGTCTAAAACATTTCCGTATATGTAAACAATAATAATCACAACACAGATCTTTGCAGGACACCAATTCCCACTGGAATTAGGAAGTATCTTCAAGTCCAACCCTCTGTTTCTGTTTTGTGGCCATCGTTCAGTCCATTCTATTACATAACACATAGTATGTCAAGGAAATCTTTCCTTGTGCATTCAGAACGTGAAACTTGTTAAGTGAATGCAGAAACATCCAAGAATTACAGCTACTTTGATATTTGCCCAATTTTCTGAAAAATATTTCTACAAAACCTAGTGCTCCTTAGAGTGGTCCAATGCTATGGTTTCCTTTCAATTTTACCTGAAATCTTTGTGGTAATTCGGGTGGTAACCGGCAACCCAAATCCTTTCACCGTGCTTGCCCTTATTGTGAACGAGTATGTGGTTCCTGGGTAAAGTCCGACAAACAAGTGGTGTGTCTCATTTCGTTGTTTGAACACCCTCCCTCTTTGGCTTGATAGTTCCACATTAGGGTCAAAGGAACCAGCAGCTTTGTAGGTTATCTAAAAGGAAATACAAGCAATTTTATCAACTACTATTTGCACAAATAAAATTTCTGTAGTAGTCCAGTTGCTATTTGGAGAGTTTTGAAGCGCCGATACCAAATATGCTATTTCCACCCAGCCTCAGTGTGTACAAAGAAACTCAACTGCTAGTGAATGGGCCCATTACAGTTGCCATTCACATCAGCTGAAGTGACATGCAGACACCGAAAGACAAGCCCTATAATTTATTTAATAGTGAATTATCTTTGTGTGAGCTTCTCTCTGAATTTATTCACCGACTGCAATTTCAAGTGAGCTGTCAAACTATTATAACTTCCATTTTCCTCTTATAACTTGCTTCTCTTCACATAGTAAAGGAATATGAACATGTTAATTTGTGAAAACATAGCATAATTTGGCATTCTTCTTGACGTACCTTCACTTTCTAATTTCCACTTACTGGAAAATAACACAGTTCAGACATTGATTCACTCAAGAGGCTTACCACATCACTACACAAAATTTCAACCATTATTTCATCAGATGTTAAAATGTGCTCATTTTTAGAAGCAAATATACAGTATTTCATCTGTAGATTGAAAGCAATGTAACAAGATTGCATTTTAGAAGGGATATGTTGTCAATAGAAAAGAGAATGTAGAGTGTATATATATCTGAAAATGAATGGGAAATGTAATGATATTTTACAGTAATGACACATTGAAAATTCTTGAAAGCTGTACAAAAATATAAAGATGAGATTAAATATAAAGATTCATACTTTCAGCATTAGAATGCTGGATATCCTAGTACTCTTACAAATAACAGGATAGGCACTTTGTCCTTGCCGTATAAATTTATTGCTTCGCTTCTTGCAGGTTTTCAAGACTCAAGAAGCTAAATATTTATTTTGCTCTGACAAGATATCACTGCATGATTTCTGATATGGTTCTCAGCATAAGAGAACATAATATTGAGCTGCAATGTCCTAGACAGTGCATTGAAAACTGCAACACAGCAAACAAGTGCTTTCATTTGTCTATCAATATTTATGAAATAAAAAACATGAAACATAAAAGTAAAATAATGAAAATATAAATTATAATGTGACAAATTTCTATATGTCTATAGTCTGGAAATGTTTTTTTTTCAAATAAACACTACTGGTATCAGTAAATGTCATACTCTGTCGATTCTTGAAGTAAAATGTCATGGTACATATAAATTATAGGATATTTTACAAGGAATATATGTATAAAATATTATCCTGTAAAGAACAGTATTACTTTCTGTGAAAACAAAGCCCAATTCAATAAATTATTCCTTTCTATTTCTCACATTGCTTGCATCCAAATATGTTTTCATTTTTCACAAAAATGGAATCATTCAATGTAGTCTCTGGACCAACAATGAAACAAATAGTGTCATTTTCCTAGTTTAGAATATGGATTCTGTGCATTGAGAGACAAAAGTCTGCACTGTATGCTCTCAATTGGCTCCAAATGTATTATGCAAAGTGAGTTTTGCTTTGCTATGTTTTCCACTGGGCCAGTTCCTAATGGGCAAACATGCAACTGAAAACATATTCCCCTTCCCTCCCTTGTCCGCCTTCCGCAGGGACCGTTCCCTCCGGGACACCCTGGTCCACACTTCCTTCACCCCCAACACCTCCCCGTAGCCCTACGGCACCTTCCCCTGTAACCGGCGAAGGTGCAACGCCTGCCCATTTACCTCCTCCCTCCCCAGAATCCAAGGGCCCAAACATACCTTCCAGGTGAAGGAACACTTCACCTGCACTTCCAAGAATCTATTCTACTGTATTCGCTGCTCACAATGTGGTCTCCTCTACACTGGGGAAATGAAACGTAGACTTGGCGACTGCTTCGCAGAACATCTACGTTCTGCTCACAAAAAAGACCCTGAACTACCTGTTTCCTGCCACTTCAATGCACCACCTTGCTCCAGTGTTCCAGTGAAGCCCAGCGCAACCTGGAGGAACAACACCTCATTTTCCGCTTGGGGACCCTACAGCCCTCTGGACTCAATATTGAGTTCAATAATTTTAGGGCCTAAACTCTCCCATGTCCCAGCCCCCCACCCCACACACCAGGCCTTGTTACCACATAGCCTGCCACTACACACCCCCTGTTGTTAGTCACTAACAGTCCCCCTTAACAACTATTCACCCTCCCAACCTGATCGTTAGCAACTCCTTTGTCTGTCCAGCTGTCTTTCTCTCTCTTTGGGCTCTATCCTATCGTTTACTCCCTACCCCACCCACCTCCCTATTTTCTGCAATAAACTGACATTTTCCCAGCCACCATCAGTTCTGAGGAAGGGTCACTGGACCCGAAACATTAACTCTGTTTTCTCCTCCACAGATGCTGCCAGACCTGCTGAGCTTTTCCAGCAACTTTGTTTTTGCAACTGAAAACTAATGTCCATTATTTTCCATTTCCCACTCAGTTGCCAATTACACTCAAAGGGAATTGAAACTGAAAGAACTGTGGATGCTAGAAATCAGAAACAAAACAGAAATTGCTGGAAAGGCTCAGCAAGGCAGGCAACATTTGTGGAAAGAAATCAGAGTTAACGTTAACGAAATCTGTTGCAATCCCATAGCTGAACAGTGTATGTGAACCCTTCCACCCTCAACCTGAAGATATTTGTAACACCTCACAGTGTTATGCAGAGGAGGTCACTGCAGCTTCTTATTCAGAGAACTAATTCTTTTTAATTCTCTCTTGGCAGAACCAGCAAGGAGAATGAGCAAGAGATAACAAGGTGTAGAGCCGGATGAACACAGCAGGCCAAGCAGCATCAGAGGAGCAGGAAGGCTGACATTTCCGGCCTACACCCTTCTTCAGAAAATCTTCATTCATTCTTCAGAATAAGCACACAATTTTGTTGAGAGTGTAATTGATTTAAAATGCTGCTAAGTCAAAGATCCTTATAATTGGGGACATGCTGGCAGATACTGTAACAGCATTTAAAAATAAATTAACAGAAGATCAACATTTTAATTCAATGAACAAGGCAGATTTCTGATTAATTCGAGGACAGTCCCAATAGAGCTGGTGAGTGCATTTGACATTGATCATTCCTAGGGAAGAGGTGGCTTGGTAGGAGTAAGGCTGGGAAGGAAAGCCACTGATTGCATGTGCATTACTTTGTGGGTCCTCTATGTCAACTTTATCATATATTGGAACTGAAAGAGACTCCAGACCCTCAATGTCAGCAGTTGTGTGAGCACAGACAACAAAACATATAGGTCAAGACCTGGAATTCAGGCAGGAGTTATACTGTCCCTACTCCGTCACAGTTCACTACTTCAACTGCTTTTGCGCCACCATCGAAGAGTGTGTTTGGGTGACAAAGTCTACCCACTGATGCTACGGTTCATGACATCACTGCACAACTCATGCACATGTGCACAACATACAGATGATGAAAACCACATTGTCACACAAAGTGAGACAACAAAGACTACTGCTGAAATAACAGACTGAATTATATCAGACTCTGGATTCTAGCAATCACCTCCACTAAAATGTTGAAGGGGAGGCTGCTGATGGAAACACCAACTGTCCTGTAGCCATTTGATCAATAATAAACTGGAAGCAGGACTTCCATGCATGTCTGATTGGCCAGCAGCTCTCCTAGCCTTTGAGACGGAGGCATGTGGGACTGGATTGATTTGGGCCAGTGATTGGGTGTCAAGCTGGCAGGTTCCAACACAAAGGCAAGTGGAATTGGGGAGTGGGTGGGTGGGGACAGTGGTCTGTGAGGATTGAGAGACCATTTTGACTACGGGGCACAATGCTGTGCCAACATGGATAGGAAAGTCACTTTGGAAACTCTTCCTGGCTAGCTGCTTCCTGGTGTTCTGCTACATGCTGAAAAAAACTTGTCACCTAGGGGACAGCCATTGTCATCAGTTATACAATGATGAATGGAGCAGCAGGAGCATGTGGCTGAAGGAAGAAAAGGAAGAGATAAGGTAAGCTAGAGAACTCTTTTCTAGATAGGTTGCTCCTGACAGATTCATCCAAGTGTGATGCCAGCCAAAGCAATTACAATTCCTCATTCTCCAATAATCCCCTAACTTACCTTCCGTCTATTATTGAACATCACAGCATAGCCCTGATGACACGGTTAAAATAAAAAGCAGCCACAATAACTAACCAATGGGTGACTGCATTGGCTAGGATATGGTACTTGAAGGTACATTCAACGACCACAACTCCTCGTGTGAGGTCATTGACCAGCTTGCAACATTGCGTTCCTGTTGTGGGGTCTTGACTCTTGGCATTTACCGCCACAGCAATATTACCCCATTCCCTTTTAAATGCATCTTGGAGGGCCTCTTGCAGATACAGGGCATTTCTACTCCTTCCTACTTGTTCCACCAAATACCTTGTGTAGAACATTCAAAAACCTTGGGACAAAACGTCTCCTACGTTATGCCATTCCTCACTTCTTCCTTGGTCAACTCATTGCGTAACTCAGTAGCACCTGCTTTAACTACAATGTGCTTCCCATCTGAATGCAGGAGGGTGGGCCAGAAGTTTTGATTTTACGCCCCCTGTTGATGTGTGCAGCTTATGAACAGTGTGGTTAGTTATTTCTGCTCACAGATATCAGAATAAAGAGAAGGCAGCGCGAAGTTGGTGTGCTACTTGCATGTCGATCAAGGCCACAAATTAATCAAGCATTGACCATTTTCTAGAGCTATCCTATTTATCCTCTAAAATGTACAATGTAATTTTTAACTGAACTGATTAAATAATTCCTGAAAACAACCCTAGAATTCTTTTCTTCTTAAGATAGAAAAAACTTTATAGATATCTCCTTATTAAGATTGTGGGCTCTGCAATGTAATATTTAGCATTAAAAACAATTCCTATGTTTCAGGGTTCAACACTGTTTTCATCAGCACTATTAGTTACCATGGGACTAAAGATTACAGTATCAACTAAATCAAAATTATTTTATTGATATCATTCATGCTGGGCTGTAACTGTGAACATCTGCATGAATCACAATCAAATGCAAAATTCTTTCAAGTATACCAATGGGACAGAAATATATGTTTAAGCAATTATCCATATTTAATTAGTTCTGTTATAGCAGGTATTGCTATGGCCTAGTTTTTACAACGATGAATGTCTTTGGTTAGCAAACATTCTTCAATCCTTCCAGTGCTCCGAGAATACCTCCCTACAATTACAAAGTGTCAAACACCCGAGAGGCAAGAAAAGATGGTTGGTATCTGAATGGTACTTTACCTCATAGAGGGTAATTATTCCATTAGTTTCATTGGGTGGTTTCCACTGCAGATATATCTTCTCCTCAAATGGACCTCCTTGAATTGATTCCAAGGGCACCAGGTCAGGCACTGTTGGGAAGAAATTTAATAATAAAGGGTAAGAGAATCAGCAGAGTTTACAAAAAAAAAGCTTCAGTCAACATGACAATGAATTCTAAGGATTTGAAATCATTTCCAGTTATAATTGTCTCTAAAATGTATTCATACTCATTTATGGCCAATCCCTTTGGATCTCTCCTAGGTGTCCATTCTTCAAGTTATTTTGCATAGCTTATTGAATACCTCAGTAAATGTCAATGTATGAATCTTAAATAGGCAATCAGCAATGTGATGAGAAAACACAAATAGCTGCTATAAGTAATAAAAAGTTGCAAAATGATCTGCTTTGCAGCTGTCAAACACAAGAGCACAAAGTGTCAAGGAATTAAAATCCATTTGAAGCATTCCATCTATCAACTCTCTGATTTAGCTTCTGTGAGCAGTTTCACTCATCAATAGAATCATGGATATGTTATGATGCAGAAAGAGGCCATTCAGTCCATTGTGTCTGCACTGACTCTCCAAATGAGTATTGTGAATTAGTGCTATTCTTCTGCCTACTATCCATAACTCTGCATACAGTTTCAATAGAAACGATCACCTAAGGCCCTTTTGAATGTCAGCTTCAAGGCAATGCATTCCAGACTGAAATCACTCGCTGTGTTAAAAGGTTTTTTTCTCACATCATATTTGCTTCTCCAAGCCTCTCGTTCTTGATCCTTTATGAATGTGAACAGTTTCTCCCTATCTATTTTGTACAGAAACGTCATATTTTGAAAACTAGCAAATCTCCTCTTATCCTCCTCCCTCTCCACCACCCCCAACAAGGAAAACAAGCCCAACTTCTGCAACTTATCTTTGTAGCTGAAGTATCTCACCCGTGGAACCATTCCAGTTATCTTCCTCTGCACTCTCTCCAATAAAAATTCACAACTTTCCTGAAGTGTGACACCCAGAACTGGACATAATACTCCAGCTGAGGTTTAACTAGAATCTTATAAAGTTCAGCATTAACTCCTTGTTCTTGTACTATATGCCTTCATTAATAAAGCCTATGACACTGTGTGCTTCATTTACCATGGTCTCCAACTATCCTGCAACCTTTAATGACGTATGCACTATACACCCAGGTCTTTCGGGTTCCATACATGCTTTAGAGTCATTTGTTTTATTTTATACTGTTTTCCATGCTCTTTGTACCAAAACTGAGGGCATAAAACCTTTTAACCAATATAACTGCATCTCTTAAAGCCTATCGTCTAAACACTGTTTCTTCAATTGGGAACTATATCTGGGCTTGTAGGGGTGGGGGACAGAATTTAACTGCCAACAGATTCTGGGGTAACAAACCATTGATTTCAGTTAGTTCCCTGTATCTAGCATCATGATAACATGAAGTGACAGCAAATCTAACTGGGCATCATTATCATGCTGCTGGTCCATTTCCTTACTAGGCACATGGACAAATGGAAAATCTAACATAATCTCCCGTTGCTTTTTATCTTGGTATTCAGTTGGGTAAGAAAGCCATGGCAACATCCCTGTTCAGTCCAGCTGAAATTAATATGATGTTCTGATGCTAATAACATTGGTAAATTTGGCCCCTGAGCATCCTGAAATATAAGCACTAGTAAAATCTCGTTAGCTTTCCCCCATTTAAATAACTCATTAAATTTTAACCAGCCATTTTCCATGTTTTCATTGTGTACGTTTAGAATCCCCAATGTGTTTTCACTGCTTTGTTTACCACGTATTTCATTACTTTCTGTCCATAAGCAGCAGCTAAACCATAATATACTTCTATGTGATTTCATTGTATCTCCAACGTCAGAATAGATATGTAAAGTTTGCTAACACGTTCAGTTAAGTTTTAAAATATGCATTTGTTGGGAGGATCCTTCAGAGTGTGATATTTTCATGTAATTTATTCAAATATTTGATAATGAATTTGACATTACACAAACTATTATTAAATTATTCATGGCATTTATGCCACACAAGAGAAAAAGCGTAATTAAAAGGGTGGTGGCTATAAACCAAAGATAGCTTGCAAATAAGAAATGACCCACTTTAGGGCAAGCAGTCAGCAAGACTTACTGACACTGGCAAGATTATTGACAAAGAAAGAGCATTAATTTGTTTAGTAGTATGGCAAGACACAAACATAGGTTATTGTAAATCTGCAAATAATCAAACAGGCACAAGCCTAGGTTTTAATTTACTATATCAATCATTCTCAGCCACATTTTCTTTCTCATTATGATTGACAATTGAGATTATGCATCTAGTGCTGGAGAGCTGGGCAGGACAGTGGTGCTGGGAATATGTTCATTCACTTCTACCTCCAAGCAGAAAAGAAGTAGTTTATTGCTGACTGGTTTCCCTTTCATCAGTGGAAATGCAAAATGAGAAGGATATAAAAGGGGTGGTCAATTCATTACTGGCTGCTTGTGGTCGACTATGTTGAATTTTGAACGTGGCTATAACTGTTATGTTCTTATTCTCATTCCCAGTAGAAGGTGGGGTGGGGGGTGGGGCTAATGCATTTGTCTGTGATACTGTGTCCATGGTCCATAGGAACACGCAGTAGGACCGTTAGAAATTTAATGACGTTCTGTGGTCCACAAAGCTAAGTGCTACCACCTTCTCTCTGCTACCTCACACTCACTCTAATTCCACCTCCCAGAAAAGTTCATGGTCTACCACTCAATATTGCGTACAGTATCTTTCCTCAATGGCTCTCACCTGCCCCATTTCCCCAAATTACTAATCCTTATTGCCCTCTGAACTTCCCATTCACTCACTTGAGACATTTCACCACATTTCCTGACTGAGGATGGACCATCATTCATGTTGACAAAACTAAGGTGTATTCCACTTAGAATTGCAGACAAGGCCATTTGATTGAAACACATGGAGCATGTTCACCACATAAGCTGGTGTCATATGATGTAGGTGTGACATTGATGTACTACAGTGTTATTCACTGATCATTGTTTACAAATACGGCAAGTTGTCTGGTTTTCTTTCTGCACTGAAAGGTGAGGCAGTGATGCTGTGAGCAATTCAGTGAGTGAGTGAGCACCAGAACATGTAGAATGCTAACACAAGAACCCTGAAATGCATTCTGTTCCAAACCACGAGCTGGGTGCCTGTCCATGTGCACAAAGAGGCTTGGCAGCAGAATTGCAATGGAAGGTATTAGTGACTTCCAAAATTCAATAGTAAAGTGTAGAACTGTATCAGAAGTCAATAAGATGGGCCATGATTATCTGTGATACTGGTGCTTTGCTGATGCTAACTTCCATGGATGGTTGCTGCCCATGGAACGTGCTCTAAGATGTTTGGGATTGCGTTGATGGATGCCCAGAAAAGATGCTGGTGAGTTGCAATGGTCTGGTAACTGCTCTTTCAAGTTGAGAATTGGAGTTTTCTGCCAGTATCTGGGAGAATAGCAACCTGCATATAATTTATAGGAGGTGGTGACATCGTGGTAATGTCACCAGTTGAATAATCCAGAACCCTAGGCTAATGTTCTGGGGACATGAGTTCAAATCCCCTTGCGGCAAGTGATGATATCTGAATTCGGTAGAAATGTGCAATAGTGCAGGCAATGTCGATTGTTCTAAAAATCTCTTTCATTTATATCTTTAGGGAAGGAAATCTGCTATCCTCCCTCAGTCTGACCTACATATGACTCAAACCCACAATATGATTGATGTTTAACTGCTCTCTAGGAAATTAGGATTGGGTAATAAATGAGATGCCCACATCCCATGAGTGAACAAAACTGCTTCAGATGAAATTAGGTAATAATAAGATATTTAAGCATGAAAACAGTGTCCTCGCAACTGACTAGTGAGATTCTCACATAGTTGTTGAAATCTTAAGGGACAATCAAACTTCTTTTCTTGACAACAAGAATCTCTTTTTTTATTCTTGCTGCATTCTCTCAACTTTCTCGCCATTGCCCATATCGTTCAGATGTTGTAAAAATTCCATTCCAAATCGTGGCAATACAGCTTCATTCTGCTCTTCGTTAGCTGTCATCATGAATGCATGTGTATGATTCATTCTACATATATGGGTTGTAGCCTATCTACATGTAGATAGATCTGTGTAATTTTCCCTTCTGTGCACTCATCACCCAACCCTATGTGCATAACGTACATCTTTGGAAAAAAAGTAAAAAATGGTACAAGAGCATGACCAAAGAACATGCAGACCAAATCCCAACTTGAATCAGTACAAAGTATACAAGTTCAAAAATTTAGAACAGATAAATTGGTTCATGGGAAGATATATGTTGCTGTGTCCAGCCAACGTCATGGTAATGAGCAATGGTCAAGTCCTGTGAAGACCTGCAGACCAAATTACATACCATTAACCACTTGTCACACATGATGAGGACTCCAATACTGAAGGTGTCATGCCAAAAAATAACTTACTTTTGACAAATGATACATATCCATCCATGACAACAGCTACCATTATGCAGAGTGAAGCTACACTGCTGGATCATGATAATTGTCTGGTCATGTGTTACACACAGTATTACCTGAATGTATAGATACAATGACATATATGTATCCTTATACAAGTTTTCAAGGATTCCCATTCTTTAAAGAGAAAAGGGAGACATAGATTGTAGTGAGTGGAACAAGGGCCAGGTGGATCTCATTGACTACAAGATCCTTGATTAAGGTTGTTAACCTGGGCCAATCAGGGAGTCCTAGCTGACAGACTCTGAGCTGGTTGGTCAGAGCCCATGTACTGTGCACGTGGAAACAAAGGGTGACTTGGTGACATGATACAGGCCTCTGTGCAGTTATTTCATATATTATGGTTAGATTCCAGACTGGACAGACCTATATATTTAAGTTAGTTATCACTTTGTCTTCTCTCTCTCTACATAGTGGAGTCAACATAGTCAGTTGGTCATATATGTCGAATGTATAGTCATGTCATTAAGCACGAAACCGAGACTGTGTAAGTCTGTGGTATTACAGTCCTATAAATAGCCAGTGGTA